TCTCAGGGTCCTGAGATCGAGCCCCGCATCCGGCTCCTGTTCAGTGGGGAGTCTGCTTCTCGTTCTCCGTCTGCCCCATTCCCCACCTCATGCATGCTCTCTCTCTCACTTTTATGCTCCCTCTCTCAAGTAAATAAATAAAATCTTAAAAAAAAAAAAAAGAGGAAGAATTTTGCCTGGGACATAGTAAGCACTATGAGTGTTTGGCACCAGAGAAGGAATCACACATGGTAGAGTGTAGGCTAGAGATAATCTGAAGGCTAGCAACGGAACACCACAACCAGCATCTTCCCTTGGCGAAAGAGACCTGGAATACACAGTGGCCCACAGGAAGGCCACTGTAGTCCTGAACCTGATCCATTCAGGACTTCTTTTTATTTTTTAAAGATTTATTTATTTATTCTAGAGAGAGAGATACACACACAACACACACACAGAGACAGAGGCTGAGGGGCAGAGAGAATCCCAAGCTGACTCCAAGCTGAGCGCAGAACCCAACTTAGGCTCCATCCCGCTACCCTGCGATCACCCCGAGTGGTGAAACCAAGAGTCAGATGCTCAACTGCCTTTGCCACGTAGGTGTCCCATGACTTCTTTTTAAAGTCCACTCGTCAGGGGTGCCTGGCCGGCTCTGTCAGTAGAGCATGCAACTCTTGATCTCAGGGTGGCAAGTTCAAGCCCCACATTGGGTGTAGAGCTGACTTAAAAAAACCAAAAAACCAACAACAAATCGGCTGGTTAGTGTTTAGGTATGAAATGCTGGCGCCATCTTCTGGTCATCATGGGGAAATGAGAATTCAAGGCTGGTGGCGACTCCAGGTGACTCCAGCCAGAGCCAAACCACAGGGGATCCCTGGAGCCTGAGAGGAGAAATGTGGGAAAGGCATCCACCTGCGGTCTCCGGTGACAAAGAGCTCTATGTCAGCTTCGGGTTGCATGTATCAACCTTCCTCAAGGCAGGGATCAAATAACTCGGATTATGTACAAAGACAGGAAAATGTAGAACTGTGAGGAGAAGCCGCTTTATTTTCTTAAGTCTTGGCCTTTACCAAGGAGAGATGGGGGCAGAGAGCTGAGCCAGGTACTGCCGACAGGCCCGTGAAGCACCAGGTCCCATGAGCAGAGCCATGGATTCGAAACCTGCCTTTGCCTTTGAAGCCCACTGACAGAAGAAGGCTGACCTCTGTGTTTCTGGGTTTTACAGAGAGAGATGGCCTGCCTCTTTAGTGCCAGTCACTGTGGTAGGTGTGGTCATACCAAGACACTATAGTCTTGTGCATATTATTAACCCTCTGAGCGGCGATAAAGAGACAGCTCAGAGACCTCAGGAAATTCGTCCAAGGCCACCCTGTAGTTAAGAGACTATGCTAGTGTGCTAAGGCTGCCACAGAAAAATGCCAGACTGAGAGGTTTCAACAAAAATGTATTTTCTCACAGTTCTGAGGTGGGGAGTCCGAGATCAAGAGGTTGGCAGGTCTGGGTTCTTCTGACGTTTCTCTCCTTGGCTTGCAGGAGGCCGCCTTCCTGCTGTGTCCTCACATCTTATCTCTGAGCACACACATCCCTGGAGGCTCTTTGTTTGTCCAAATGTCCTCCTTTTATGAGGACACCTGTCAGACTGGATTAGGGCCCACCCTAGTGGCCTCATTTTAACTTAATCACCTCTTTGAAGACCCTGTCTCCAACTATGGTCACATTCTGATATGGGGGCCCGGGGCTTCTACATACACATTTCCAGGGAACTGAATTCAGCCCATAACAGGCACCAGGTCAGGCTGTAGTCTCAGGCTTGACGTCAGTCTGTGTCCCCTTCTATGGCTCCATGGCTGTTCTGTCCTTGAGCTTAGGCAAATCTTGCCCTCGTTTAATTTCAGCGGGAGGGCAAGGTTTCTAAGAATCTAGGGGTATTGATCCTAGAAATTCAGGCTCGGATTTTTCACGGCTTCCTAAATTTTAGGGTGATAAACCAAAGCTAACCAGATCTCAGGTCCAAAGTTTCATCTAAGAGTTAGGTTACCTTCCTACTGAAAAAAAATAAAAAATAAAAAATAAAAGAATCACCTCTACATTTGTGGGAAAATACCCCCACCTGATCTTTCTCCTCTTGGTTAAGCTGATAACCAGTGCTCAGGAACCAGCCTCACAGCCCCGGGTGCCCTCGTTAGGACAGACCTCTTGGACTTAGAAGTGCTGATCTCCGATGCTTGTGCAACTGCCCGGAGGCAACGGCGGCCGCACGTTGTCGTGCTGGTTTTTGCGTACAAGCTCTTGACTCAGTTTCTCCCTTCAGTGGACGAGGGGGCCTAGGAATGCGTGCTGCCTCCCTGGAATATTCTGGAGACTAGTAGCCCCAGGTGTCTTTCCAGTCTTGGGACATCCGCTTGCCACCAGCGGGCAACCACTCTGGCATGCTAGGATCCCTTCGCTTTGGGCACATGCCACCATCATATCACTAACTGGAAGAGCTTTGTGCTTCATCGGTAGCCAGAGAAAGTTCTAGGGATTTACAGGTGTGAGCAGCATTGTGATTTTGTGGGCTCACAGCTCCAACCAGGAAGATCTGACCAGATTCACGTACAGGCCCATGGAGCAGAAAGGAGCAGAGCAATGAAACATGCTATATTCAAGTCCGTGGTGAATGTGGGAAGGGCAGCAGCCCAACGGGCAGAGGCCGGAGTCACGGCACGTTATTGCCTCTAACCCGCTCTGTGGACCTGGGGCACTAACCTTACTGAGTCCCATCTGAAATGGGGACAATAATGTGCTCTAGTCCCGGAGGCTGGCTTAATGTAAGAATCAAATCTGCTAGAGGGCAATCTATATTCTAAATACAGTATGCAGATAAAAGTTATCCTGATTTTTAAATACCTTCTCTCTGTTATTAGTACAACTCTGCACAGACTTTATACTGTTATTTTCACAGCGCTTTGTAGAAATTCACATATTTAAGAGAAGAGAACATGGGGATGCCTAGGTGGCTCAGTTGGTTAAATGTCTACCTTTGACTCGGGTCATGATACCCCAGGGTCCTGGGATCAAGTTCCAAGTTGGGCTCCTGGTCAGTGAGGAGCCTGTTTCTCCCTCTCCCTCTGCTCCTCCTCCCAGCTCATGCTCTCTGTCAAATAAATAAATAAAATATTGGAAAAAAAACCCTACAGGTTTATTTTCCCTGATTGACTTAAGTTCCCTGAGGACAGACACTATATCATTTACCTTGTATCTTTAGACCTAGTTCCTCCTAAGTACTCAATCTTTGTTGAATGAATGAATGAATGAATGAATGATATTAATCTACCAATTTAGCAAATGCATGAGGAAAATGGTGTAGATACATGAACATATAAAACGTTTGTCGTTCTGGATCTTTCAGAGATATGGCATTGGTTTATGACATTCTCTTTTCCAAGTTCAGCACAAGTAATTCAGTCAACTTAGTAGATAGAGCCTTTCAGTAAGGGTTTCTTGTTTTGCTCACGGCCAATGTAAGCAGGCGTTTTCTCCAGCAAACAAAAGTTGAGGTGCTTCTAGCTGCCTGAACTCTTGCCAGATGAACTCCTGTTTTCTGGAGTGATGCTATCCAAACTCAGAAGCAAATAGGGATGCATTTTTGGAAGAATCTTTCACGATCTAAACACTGGTGCTTACCACCTGGAACTCAGGAACTGAAGTGAGTCCTGTAAATACCCCTCGTTACCCAAACATTTTCACTTCCTCAGCTCGGCCTGGAAGGATGCCCTATTATCCAAATGTATGTATGACATTCCCTTTATCCATATCCATAGGCACACACACGTACATGTATGGATATTCACACCATACTTTTTCTTGATGACACCTATCATTTATGGTATCCAGGATAAAGAACATCATCTAATATGAAGTATCTGGAGCTTCTCTTGCCTAATTGTACAGTCAGAATCAGTTCTGCTCTGAGGAAGTATCTGAAGCTGTGGCACTCTCGGTAGCATCCTAAGCTGCTTCTCAGGACTCGCTGTCACTATGGAAGGGACAAACCTTCATAGGCTACCTCTGAATCCCTAGTACCTACCACAGCTGTCTCATTTAATGTTTTTTTTTTTTTTTTTAAGATTTTTTATTTATTTGACAGAGAGAGAGAGAGAGAGAGAGAGAACAAGAAGGGGGAGTAGCAGAGGGTGAGGGAGAAGCAGGCTTTCTCCTGAATAGGGAGCTGGATGTAGGGTTCAATCCCAGGACCCAGGACCAAGACCCAAGCCAAAGGCAGATGCTTAACAGGCTGAGCTCTTACAGTAGCACCGGGCACCCCCATTTAATGCTTTTTAAATGAGTATTTGGGCCAACTGTAAAGGTGGGGCAAGTACATGATGTGGTCACATGCTACAAGCGAACACACTGCTATTGGCTTACAGTGCTTTGCCTTAGCATCAAAGTTTAGAGTATTTACGGTATACCATATATTTTAACAAAATATTTAGAGGCCCTTTGGCCACGTTTAAAGCAAACCACCTCAAATACACAGCTTTTTCAAATATAAAGTTTTTGGTTTTTTGTTTTGTTGTTAACCTAAAATTTTCAAACTATACGATTTTTACTGGTGTTTATTCATAAAAGAATCAAGACAAGTTTCTTCAAAACTTAAAAAAAACCCCACAAACCTTATTTGTGGGGTAGAAGCAAATTCTTACCTATGAACCAGAGTGTTCTTGAGGCCACCAACCAGGCCTCGGGCAATGGTCTTCACTCTGGGGGTGAGAATGGCTTGAGAGACATGGAAGGAGCCTCGTGGGGCCCGCTCACTCAGAGTGGTCTCCAAGAAGAGGATTAGTTTGCGCACGCTTGTAGTGTTGGCCCAGGGTGCTGGGATCTTCTTTCCGGGCCACAGGAAGGGGTATTGCTTGTAGAAGGGACAATGATAGAAAATAAGAACCTGAAACATTCAAAACAGAAAAAGGAGAACAATTCATAAATAAGCTGAATGTTAATTCCATGGCTTTGTCCCAATTGCTGACATGAAAGGCAAACAAATGTATGCATGTAGAAATTCATGAATTTTATGTGTGTATACACGCACACATTATATATATATTAATATATATATTAATCAATTAGCAATAATCGTGCCTCGGATAAACCTCATTGGCTATGATACTGCCACTGCGCAAAGCTTATATATTAATCAATAAGCAAAGATTTAAGCACTTGTGTATGTCTGAACTTGAAGATTCTTTATTTTTGTCATGAACACTTCTGGAAGTATGGTAAAATCCCAAACCCCTTCTCTGACTGTTTTAGATGAATGTATCAAATAGAAAAGACAGGGGACGCCTGGCTGGCTCAGCGGTTGAGCATCTGCCTTCGGCTCAGGACATGATCCTGGAGTCCCGGGATCGAGTCCCGCATCAGGCTCCCTGCATGGAGCCTGCTTCTCCCTCTGCCTGTGTCTCTCTCTGCCTCTCTCTCTCCTTGTCTCTCATGAATAAATAAATAAATAATTAAAAAAAAAAACAAATAGAAGAGACAGGATTATAAAGGAAATTGATGAGACCGAAATATAGCTATCAAAATATTATTAAACTTGTAATAAATTGGTGTATGTGCTTCATAATAAATATATTAAATAAAAATATTTTGTTGTAAGTCTAATAAGTTCCATCATTTTGAGTTAATGATGAGTATAAATGATATTTCAAATACCTGAAACGAGATATGGAAATATCTGTGATTTCTATGGGGACAGCCACAGGTAGAGCCGATACTGCTGTGGCTGAGGGTCTTCACTCATAGCCAATGGGTATATTAATTTTCAGTAAAGGTGAGAAGGGATCAATATGTAGATTTTTCCCATCCAAATCCACGGACTACTTAAATCCTACCCATGCCCCTCCCCTTGGGGCTCTGAGCCCCCACATCACCTGCCCCCCACCCCTCCATGGAGAGTGCTGTGGCTCGGTAGTACTGTCTACTAGTTATGACTCCTATGCTCCTGCAATTGACGCTCCTGGGGGGTTGAGACCCACTCAATGGACTCATCATGAAGTGCCCTGAGTTTCAATCACGCCAGCCAGCCGGCTGAATGAAATAACCCTTCCCAGGAGGGTGTGTGTGTGTGGGGGGCGGGGGGGGCACTACTCCAGGCAGGGAAGACTTCCAGAAGGTGATGGGTCTCTCCAGTGGGACCTCCCTGGGCTGGTGGTGGTTTTGAAAATAATTAGCAAGCCACATCCACAGCATTAATTAGTTTCTGGGAGGCAGCCGAGGGACGGGGAGTTGCTATTTTGATTGTCCCAATTTAGAGCTCTGCTGCTTAGGTTTCTAGAAGTAATACGTTTGCCCTGCTCCCAAGCGCCAGTAATCTCTTCCTGGAGGAATGTCCAGCATGCTTACACGGCCTGGACTGCAATCCTCAGTGGGCTGGCCCGAGAGCATAATCCCCCAGGCACCCGAGCAGGAGGGCTCTGCATGTGCGTCTGGCTCCCAGTAAGTCTAGCCCACGACCCAGGTGCCTAACTGCTGCTGCGGGCCCAGAGCCCGGGTGCCCGGGTGCGGCAGGCTGGATGCACCCAACAGGCTAACAGTTGCTGTTTCTAAGGGTGTTGAGTCCCGTCTGACTGACTGCTAATGATGCTGCCGGTGGTAAACACGGATGTTAATGAGGTTAATCGCTGGCTCATAGTAAGCAGATTGCCGCGGAGACTGGGAGGACTTCCTGCTGGCGGTGTAATCGGCTGGGTGGAAAGCTGGGGTCTCCCGCACCTGAGAGGGAGGCAACCTGTCCTGTGCAAGGGACCGGGAGAGGCGGGAGGCTGCGGGGGCCTCCACCGTCCGGGCCTCTTCAGAGCTGCCTGGCCCCCGAGCAGTGAGTGTCAGTGCTGTTCCCTTTGCTGCCTTAGAAAAGGTACAAAAAGAACAAATTGCACAACAGGGGCTTTCTGCCTTTCCTCAAGAGCCTTCTTGAACAATCCGATCCTAAGGGTTATAGGGACAATTTCGGTTGACAGGAGGAGGTTAGTCTAGCAAACCGATTGTTTGTTGTTTATGGATTTCAAGGGGCAGTAACTCTTGCCCGAGGGCCCACGTTTTGCATGTGCCTCCCTACCTTGCTCTGCTGTATTTTTCTCTGACACGCTCTCCCTTCCAGCTCAGCAATTTATGTCCAGTTTTTCTTCGGAGACTCAGATTTGAAATCTAACTTCTCTTGAAAATTATTCCTCGATTAACCTCCTCTTATTCTGATGGGTCCTTTCCTGGAGGCCCCTCGACTAGAGATCGAAGCCATGCACTATTTTTCAATCAATTGCTTACAAACCCCTTCCTTCATATAGTACAGTTGAGGTGGTTTTATCTTGCAATTGTGTATTGGTTGTTTTGTATTTTATGAGTGTTATGTACCCTTACCTTCTCATCAAGATCCTAAATACTGCCAAACCGTAGATTTAGTCTTCTAATTCATGGTACCTCAAAACCCATAGTCACGATGTACACCTATCAGTGAGCTGTGATGTAACTGTTACATTGAGTAAATGAAATTTGACTGAACAGTGGTATATGAAGCTGTAGTGATAAAATACTCAGGGGGTTACAAGCAAAGCAGCTCATTACATAATGAATATTTAAAGTTTAGCCCCCAGCAGGGAGTAGATCACTGATGACTGTGAGGTCTCTGTTTAGCTTTTTAAGGAGAGACATGGAGGGGACAACTCCGGGAAAGCAAGAAGAGCAGGGAAATCCTAGAATTCAAATGAATGACACCTACCCTTTTACTGACAGGTCATCGCAATCTTTTCATAAATTTAGGAGTAGTTGTAGTTGGAAGACACACACAGATTAGCCCCTACTTTTTTTTAAAATTTATTTTTTTGTAAGTTTTATTTATTTATTTATTTATGATAGTCACAGAGAGAGAGAGAGAGGCAGAGACATAGGCAGGGGGAGAAGCAGGCTCCATGCACCGGGAGCCCGATGTGGGATTCAACCCCTGGTCTCCAGGATCACGCCCTGGGCCAAAGGCAGATGCCAAACCGCTGCGCCACCCAGGGATCCCGATTAGCCCCTACTTAAAAATATGGATGGCTCATCACTCTGCTGCTGGAAGTTCACTGTCCACCCTCGTCATTATCTCTGAAAATACCTGTTACTCCTGCAGACTTCCAAACAATTTTGTAGGCAACATGGCAGTCCACCCAGGACACTATCTGCGTGCAAAATTATAAAGCTATAATTATATTAGTTATATTTATAAATTTATATTTATAAAATTATAAAGCTACATCTGATTGTCAGGCTTAGTTGCACTCTAATCTAATCTTATCTGAATCCCAAATTCAAAAGCCCACTTACAGGTCTCTAGCCCATTACTCCATTCAGCGAGCCCTCAGAGACCCTCTGATAATAGGGGCTCATGAATAAGGAGGAGGTGTTTTATTAGCGTAATCTATGATCCTAGTTGTGAAAACCCCAAGATGAGGGGACAGCCGTGGAATAGCATCAGAAGCTGTGGGAACTCAGGGGAGCCAAACAGCCTATGACTCAATCTAGGCTCTGGCTAGTCACTAGCGATGATCTCTCAGGCAAGTTGCTACTTTCTCTGTGCCTCAGTTTACTCACTGTAAAATGAGGATAACAACAGAACACCTATCTCCTAGTGTTGTGGAGAGGACTAAATATGCTAATCCTTGTACCTAACACAGCGTAAAGGCTCAGTAAATATTAGCTGATAAGGTGATATTGGTATTACTATTATCTCATACTGTAAGAGAGACTCCACTAAGACAAAAAAACCTCTCCAAATTAGACCTGTGAGTCTGAAAAGATAACCTGGGCTTAGGGGCAAGGGTGTGATAAATATTTGGTAAAATGTCATTTACAAAGTTTTAGTGAGGAGAAGCGGCTTAGATAAATTTTAACAGAGACTGAGAGTTAACTAATTAGCCTCTATGGAGTGAAAGGCATTAGCCCTTTTATAAGTGTGCAAAAACTACCTGGTGTTCCCAATCACTCAGGCCAAACCTGGGAGTCATCCTTGAAGCCAGTTTCTTTTGCACCCCAAATCCCATCCACTGGAAAACTCCGTTGGCTCTACCTTCTGACAGATTCCAAATCTGACCACTTCCCACTAGTGCTCTCCTCATGGGTTCCCCTCCTTTCCCTGCCCTCCTACCCCTGGTTTCTTCCTAGCAGCCACAAAGATCCCATTAAAATGTCATTCAGGACACAGCACCCTGTACTCAGAACCCTCTCAGAACCTTCCTCCCTCAGAGTGAAAGCCTGAGTCCCTACCTCATCACCCATTATTTCTCACCTTCTCTCGCTGCTCTGCTCTCCAGGCCCATGGCCTCTGCTTCTCCTCAAAGGTGTTAGGCACTGGCTAGTTCCTCTGCTGGGAAAGCTCTTTCCCCGCAACAGTCACATTATTAACTCCCTCGAAAGTCTATCCTGATCAACTTATTTAAAATTGAGACCAACCCTCCAATCCACAGAACGCTGGTTCCTCCTAACTACACCTGCCTTTCTGTTTTCATTGCTCATATCACTTTCTAGCATTTTATGTAATGTATTTATTATGGCAATTATCTATTATCTGTTTCCTTACAACCTGAATGAAAGCTCTATGAAGGCAAGGATCTTTATTTTATTTACTAACTTATCCCAAGTGCCTGGACTGGTGCTTGGCACACACTGTTCAATAAATATTTGCAAATGAAAAATCTTTAGTTGATTTTTAATTAAAAGCTCTTCTCTAACTTCAAAAATAGCTGCCTCTTTAAGATGCTTTGGTTCATGTACCTATGAGTAGTGACCAACTATAAAAATGAAAGGGAATTGCTTCTTCTTCTTTTTTTTTTTTTTAAAGAGAGTCTAAACTGGAGGCTGACCTTTCCTGAAGCTCGCCTGTCCCACAGCCTGTCATCCCATGGGATCAGAGCAGCATCTCTCTGAGGCTCACATTCCTTTTCTTGGGTATGTCCCTCAAGGCCTAGGTTTGGAGCTCTGCTAAGCTATGGGACCTGGGAAAGCTCTCCACCTGTTGGGCTCTTTCTTCACTCTCTCCCCACCAGGACCCCAAATCTGTGAAGACAGCCTTTTAAAATGTTAACACTTCTGAGCTGAATCATTTATGTGCCTTTGTCAGGTAATGCAGGAATTATCTGACATGGAATTAAAGGCAG